TTTTTTTTTTGTAGAAAAATAAACTTATAACAGTATTATTTGCCAAGAAAAGAATAGTTTTAATATTAGTATTATTATATTAGTAGAATAGCTTTGTACAAATACAAGTTCTTTTCTACTTTTAAATTAAATTTCATTCATGAAATCTATTGATACTTATAAAAATGTAATTTCTTATGTCTACAATCTTATGGAATTAGGGTTTTATTTAGGTCATTTTATAAACCATTCGATTCTAATAAACCACTTCGAAAAATTATTATCATATATTATAGTAGTATAAAATGTATTTTAAAAATAAATTGAGTTTACATTTTGATATTTACGAGTTTATATACTGAAAGTAGAAGTCAAATGATTTTTCAGTTTTTATTATGTATATATTTTAGATACACTATTAATAATTGTATTATAAAAATAGAATTTAAATGACTAAATTACATAACGAATTAAAATCTGAATTCACAAAATCATTGCGAATAATTGTGCTCATATCTAAATTGTCTGGATTATTTAATTTTTCTTATTGCTTTAATTCAAATAATACTGTGACACAAAAAGTTGGGGCATCACACTTATTTGGCGATATTATTCAGTTGGGGTTTTATGTATTAATGTCATTTGTCGTGCTCACATCACCAACTTATGTTTATATATTTCGTTATGATATAATTCGTTATTGGATAATTCTTATAACTACTAGGGGCTCAGCAAAATGGATGATAAAGCAAGTATAAATCGAGTATTTTTCCTTAATAATCTGTTTTTTATTCACTCGTTTTTTTACAGGTTAATCAATGAATTACTTAAATATGACAGAAAATTTTCCAGTCTTCCTAGAACCATTCAATTACGAGCACCAAGCATAAATTTTTGGTCAAAAGTCGTAATTTTATATTGTGTTTACTTTTGGGCGATTCATTTTGCTATAATACCTAGCACTTTAAAAAAAATTGAGTTGGTTCAATTGTTCGTTGGAACAACTTTTGGTGTGCCACGGTTGGTGGACTTTGCAGTACTAACTACGACATGTTTTTTCTTGGGAAATTTCGGATGTCGATTCCGTGCATTAAATGAATTTTGGAAATCATTAATAGTATCATTTGAGATATTACCTGAATATTGGACCAATGAAGATATTGTGATGATAATTGAATGCTGCAGACTATTACATGCTGATCTTTGTACGATGCTCCGGATGTTTAGTCTTGCCTATGGACCTGTTTTGCTTGTATCTTTTTTATTTTTCATAGTTGATATTGTTCATCATTTTTTCATAATAGGATATATTGATGACCCATATTTATCAATTATGCCAGCAGTTATTTCAATTTTACAATTTATATTCTACATTTCAGTAATTCTTACACTTGGTTCATGGTCTCGCTATCAGGTAATAAAAATAAAATCAAATCAAATTAATAAGTTATTTTTATTTTTTAGCTACACATAAATAATGAAATACATTTAAAAAATGGAAAGTTTCAAAGTTTTAATTTTTATTATTAATTGACTGATTTTGATAATAAGCAGAAGCGTTATTTGAGGGCGAGCAGTCCCCTGTTCTAATATTTTTTTCTTCTTCTTCTACTGGCATTCCTACTCTCTAAGAGTTTTTTCCGCCATTACTACGCTTCGCCACCTATCTCTATCTTGG